TTAAAATTAGGATTTAAGTTGTTTCATCATATTTTTTTAATACATTTTGCGCATTTTGATTAAATTTTATATTTTCCAATTTTAAGATGAAATTCAGTTAAATTTTAACTTTCAAAAATTGTTTGAGATTGAAAAGAAGTTGAGAAACCGTTAGTTTTTAAACCGACACCTTTTTTTTCTCTCCAGTTCGTATTTTCTCGGTATCAGATAAAAACTTTCTCAACATATTTCAATGAAATATTTCAAAGCGTCAGTTTAAATGAACGTCAGAATATATGTTCAAAAATTTATACCCTGCAGATAATTAAACCTAGAGCTTTTTTTTTTAACCTTTTGTATTAACTAATATGAGAAAAGGAGTTTAGCAAAGATATTTCCACGAGCCGCGTATTAAATGTTAAATGTCAAAGATCCGTAATAAGATGTGATAAAATTATGCAATGCAAATGCTTGAAAAGCGCTAAAAAACAAAAAAAAAAAAAAAACCAACAACAACAACAAGCGTTTCAGGAATGCTGGCAACACGTTTATAGAACGTGATGTCCACATCTTTTGGGCGTCCATCTTAGAACGACAGGTGGAGGGGTGGGGAGATACATTAAAATGTATTTCGACATTGATGGCTGCAGATATTAATGAAATGAGACTCCTAACGAATAGATTTTTCTCTTTATCACTTAATACGGCGATAATTTGAGATTAATAAAATAAATAAATAAATAAAATCCCTTACAGTCGAAAAAAAAAAAAAAAAAAAAAAAATAATAATTATCGGTGTAATAGAAAAGCAAACAAGAATAAACAATTTAACTAAGTAAATTCTAAACACTGTATTTTATTTTTATAAAACACGGAGACAGTTGAAATTTCTTGGCCCGACTAAGAAGTCCTATTTAAAGTAAAATATGTCTGATGCTTGCTTCAGTTTTAGGAAGCCAGTCGGGCCGACAGAAAAATTTCTTATTCCTCTTGGGGGCAACCAAACAACATGCCAACAATTATTCCGACATGGTTATATATATATATATATATATATATATATGTATGTGTGTGTGTGTGAGAGAGAAAATTTAGACATGAATAAAATATTTATAATAAAAGACAATATGTACAAAGAAAAAAAGGAAAATTTTCTTTACCAACGCGCTTTGTTCTGATGGACTTTATCAAAGGATAGGGATTTTATTTTGCAAAATGTATTTATAAACAGAAGTAAAAAAAAAATATTGTTATATTTTAGAATTTTTAATTTCAATGTACTTCCAAAACTATTCTTAATGCTAATTGTGAAAATCAAGGTAAATTATGGCGGATGCTAAGTGACGTAATTTAATGCTTTAAGAATATTTTTGATTATTCTCAAAGTTTAAAAAATTTGAAAAGGTAACGATTTTTTTTTTTTTTTACTTCAGTTTATAAATAAACAGTGCAAAATACAATCCTTACAATCAGGGGGACGAAACGCATTGGTAAAGAAAGATTTTCTTTTGCCTCCCTCTCATTCAAATTCTTGTTTGTTTGTGTGTGTGTATATATATATATATATATATATATATATATATATATACACACCACACACACACAAACAAACAAGAGGAAAAAGCTATTTTAGTCGACGCAAAAGTAAGGATTTGATTTGTTTCATGAGAGGGAGGCAAAAGAAAAATTTATATATATATATATATATATATATATATATATATATATATATACACACACTAAGATTATTAATGAACTCAATAGTTGAATGCAAGAGACTGCAATGTCAAAATCATTAACAGAAAGCTAGCAGAGAATCAAGTTTTAATGAAGGGCTCGGTGGGATGATTACTACGTACAATTAATGCAGGGTTGCATTTCAGCGGAAGAAATTAATTATTTCTAAATTTATAATCTCAAAGATGGAAAAAAAAACGCGCTGAAATGTGTGCAATGAATCAATTGATTAACTCAATGTTATTTTTTATTATTTACATATTTTAAACACCATATCCTTTCAGCACACAGGCCACCATAGGTCAGTATAACTTATCTCTAATATCTGAATTGTTATGCCTTGTTTACAGATTTGAATTCGGAGTTTCCGTCTAAACTTGTTGGCAGCCAAGGCTAAAGAATCCAGTCTGTCCTACTATTGAAACGATAGCTGGAGAGTTCATACTTTTTTTTAAGGATTTTTTTTTTTTTTTTTTAGGAAAGATCTCATCCGGATTTAAAACCAG